ATCAGATAATGTAGATTTTCACAATCGGGATTGGGGATTGGGGATTGAGGATTGGGTTTTGGCATTGAGTTTGGGTTTGGGTTTGTGTGTGGGTTTGAGTTTGGGTATTCCTTGTTCATTTTCTTTTAGCCCTGCCAACAGGCCGGTTGATGGGAATTCCCGAAAAGTCACAGGGCCTACAATGGCAGTGAAAAATTGAGTTAGCGATAGCAGGGCCAACGACAGAACAACGCGGCGAACACAGAGGAGCAAAGCTTTTAAGGCTGTTAAGTTAATGTCGCTTTACGATTTGCCATTCAGATGGGGAAAAGGCAAAAAGGGTGTAGCCAGAATGTACTGGCTCCTGGCTGGCTTCTCATCCTTTTTAGCCAGACAATTGTTTTCTGGCTGGGAATTACAAAAAGTTCAAAGCTGCAAGACTAACTGTCATCAGAAATGAATTAAAATTTGAATTTTGGAAACTAGTTCTAGTTCTATTAATATTTCTTTCATTTTAAATCTCATTTCTAGGCTTAACAAGGGTCCTAGGATTCACCTTTAAACGCTCGACTTGTCCCAGCCCAGCGGCCATTCAACAGGCTGTCCAAGGCTGTCCAAGGAGAAGGAGGCGGTGGAGTGACACTGGTCAGAGTCAAAGTGTAGTGACATTTAACGGAAATGAAGAAAATTTTTCTCATTTCCTTTGAGTGAGGCAGTAGTGCCCAGAAGCAGCAGTAGGAGAAGGAGCAGGACCAGGCAGGACCAGGCAGGACCAGGCAGAAGCTGGAACAGCAACAGGAGGAGTAACAAAAGCCAAAGAACTTTAAGTCCAAGCTGGCTTAAATGGAGTTGCATTTTAGCTGCTTTTGGCACGCCTCAAGTGAAATTATGCGAAATGCTCTGAAAAGTGTGGCATAATTTGTGGTATCAAGAGGGGGGTGGGATGTCCCCCCAGACACCGTCAACAGTGTCATTATTGTCATATTATTACCGCCTTCTGCTTCTGATCTTTTGCACTGCCATTCTAGTCCTGCTCACGTCTACCCTGTCGTCCTTGGGTAAAAGTTAAGCTTATATAGTGTAAAAGTTTTCTAAGTACTTGGGACAGGGCTTGGCATCGTCGACAATGATGACTATAAGAATGTCGGATCCTATGCCCCTTATGCTCTCCAGTCAACCAAAACTAGCTGTCTGTCAGCCGTAGCTCACCTTGGCCGCAACACCGGCGACATGTTCTTCACCAGTTTATACGGTGAGTTGTCTCTTGGTAAGTCCCTCATTCCATTCTCTCAACCCTCTCTCTTTAACTTTTACCTACGTCTACGTCACGTGTAAGTGGCACGAACATTACTCCACCCACTTTTGAACCCTGAAAATACCACACACACACACCCCCTTTACCCACACGTACGTAATTGTCGCAAAAACTTTGCGTTAAGAAAATTATAGGAGAATGTGCAACGGAAATTCATGGCTGGTTAAACTTTTTACATGAAAACTCGACGAGCAGATAATGCAGCAAAGCAGTGCCAAGCCAAGCCAAGCCAAGCTGCTGCTGCTGACCAGGCAACGTGCGAAATTCAAGGATGAAGGAAAAAAAAGGAAAATGGCAACTAGTTTAAGTCGGTCTGTTAATTAGTTGACCTGAGGTTATGGCTGCATTCGAGGAAAAACAAAAGGAAAATGTAAGGAAAGCTTTTTGCTAATCATTAACTTGTCAATAGTTGATCGCTTTGCCACTAGGATAATGGATCTTCAAGGACATTCTCAACTTTACGGAAGTCAGACGTGTAATAAAAAAACGGAGTTAGCTTTCGGTGCTGGCTTGATGACGTCAAACGCGGCTCAACGCACAGAGAACGAGTGAAAAATTGTTGAAAAAATGGCAATTTCCCTGATTGACGTTCATCATCGTTGCCGCGGGTTCGGAGTTGGGCGAGGTGAAAAAGGAAGAATAAAGCAAAAAAAAAAGAACTGGGAAAGAGATGGGCAGACCAAGGACTAAGGATTGAGAACTGAGGACTGCGAAGTCCTGGGAGTCGCATTGAACTGCTCCTTCAACTTTGGCTTGGGCAAACATTTTTGGGCGCCATTTCGCTTCCTGCGCTACTTTGTAGCTCCTTTTACCTACACACACAGAGGAACACTTACACACACTAACAAGGAACAGCCAACAGCCACTCACAAACATTTAGATATGTGGACTCTTGTAGAAATACTTTTGTGAGAGGTCCTTCTTGTTCGCTCCTTTGACTCGGGCCCTGGCCCTGCTTTTATTTTACTTCTACATTTTCGTTCTGCCGCTGCTACATTTTTGTCTTAAATGATTGCCATAAAAAATAAGTGCACATTATTGTTACAGCATGGCCGGTGAACCGGCAGTAGGAGCAAGAAAGAGAGAGAGAGAAATGGTAGAAAGACGAACGGACCGAGTTCAGAGAGGCGTTCAGAGAGGCACTTTACAGTCATCCATACGCGTAGTGTAACAAATGATTTTCAAAGCTTTTTTGCATTATCAGCTTTTTAGAGCACTCTTACTCTCTACTACCTACCACCCTCCCTACCTCCCTCTAATCCCCAGCCATCATCTGGCAGGAGGGTAAAAACCTTAAATGATTTACATGACTTACACGGCCAAAGTGCAGTAAGGATAATGCTCGGACTTTACGGTTCTCCTTTCCCAGACTCTTCAGGTTTCCGCGTAAGAAGTTCTTTAAGCTTAAGAATAGACTTTTATTTGAGATTTTGGTTTAAGACTAAGTTTTCTTGTTAGTTTTAATGATTTTCTTAGTTAGTATCCCTTAAAACTTAAAGTCTTTGTTTTGCCAGCTGTAACCATAACTCAGCAACTTCGTGTGTAGTTCTATTTATACCTTTGAAAGTATTACAGTATTACTTACTGCGACATGCACACATTTTGGTTGTAAGTATTTTTAGAATATATATCTATATTTTTCAGCCACCCTTAAGAGTGCCTAGCCTGGCCCTTTTCATTTTCGATATTTATCGCAATTTAATATTCATACAGGCCCCAGCGTTTCCCTTTGGCTATTTTTAAACGTGTTTCTGGTTTATGGTGGTAAGTGAAACAGCGTTTGTCACTCAGTAACTAAGTAGCACGTGCCCTGGCATTTGGCAATGATTGTTTGTGCTTCTGGGAAATTGCATTGGACTCTGCGGTACAGGATGAATGTTTTTGGCAAGGAAATTAAAGGTCCAGCAAAGGCCATAAATAGAAACAAGCCAACCAAATGGTTGGGGTTCCAAGAACAAGAGCTCCACTATATGATATTTTTCAGGTTAAACCAATTGAGACAGGAATCCGTGTGCATCCCACAAAGGGTCATTCGGTTTGGAATTGAATGTCATTTCCCTGAATGTCATTTTCCAACCCAATGGGATGGTTCCTACCTCTTCGTTACTTTCAAAGAAATGACATTCGATTTTCTTTGCCTTGCTATTTCCAAGTATTCACTCATTATTTTCTTCTCAGTAAAATTGCCTTTACGCAACATTGCGCATACGCCATGTGGTTGGCCATTTAAATGCTTTATTTTCACCAGAAATACTGTAAATACGTGGAATGCTAAAGGAAAATCTGAACTTTGCCATCAAATTCTTTAGAATACATGACAGAGAGAAAACACAAGGTATTTTCTGGTCATATTGCTCATACGCAATGTTGTTACCAAGAAGAAACTGGCCGAGGGAAAAGTGCGATAGAGAGAGAGAGATTGAGAGTTGCTGAATAAATATGCTGAAATAAATCAATATAAACAAAACGAATTAAAATCATAAATGAAAATCAAATTCGAATTCACTTTTATTTTTTTCCTCCCTCAATTTCCTTTCACTTGAACACGTGGCAATATATAAAATATATATATATATACGATTATATATCTATATGTTTCGATACATACATATCGTTTTGTGGGTCTCTCTTTGTTTAAGCCATAAATTAATTAAAAACAATAAAGTAAGCAAAGAGAAACAACAGCTTTCGGGTTGGCCATTGCTGTTTTGCAGTTACTTAGTTTGCACAATTGCCTCTGCCAGCGTCGCTGCCGGCTTTGTCTAAGTGCAATCGATATATGCTAATAAAACTGTCCCACACACACACACACACACGCACACACTTGAGCTGACACTTTTGGGGTTATTTTATAAATATTTGAAATGAAACTGGCAAATCGCTTTAAAATAAAATTCTGCATGGGCGTCCAACGAAAGGCACTCGAAAGCGGCGATAAAGAGACGTAACTACGAAACACAACCACTCGAAATTCTGACACACACAAAAGGCATAAAAAAAAAACAGAATATAATCTGAAGTGGAATGAAACGACTATGAGTTACTCATCAGAGAAAAGAGCTCTTTCTATATATTAAATTAGCTTTAAAATCTTTAATATCGTAACTATCGACCTTATCGATATGTTTCATTGAACAGTCAAAGTTAAAGTAATGATCCTTTGATGAAAAGTAGATAAAAATAGTTTAAAAACATAGGGATGTTAAGTTTCGGTAGTTAGCAGCACAAAACAGTCTTTCTTTTGGCTATGCGGCTTGTTCTAACAACATAAAAAACACCTTGCAAAAATTATAACAAAACTTAAACCACCTTTATAACAGCTTAAACTTGTTTACAAGTTATTGTATAACACACAACTTCCGCTATTTGTTATCTTCTTCATCAGCCATAAAGTGTTATATTTGCAATATAACAGTTTCAATGTTACTTCTTGGTTTTCATATTGCTCATCTATTATTCTTTATTATTAACACAAATCTTTAAAAGTGTTTCATATTTTAAAGTTATAAATAAGTATTATTGTTGTTTTTGTAATACAAATCGCCAAACGATATTATTTAATAATTAATTGCCATTTAAAATAATGTAAACAAAGAGAGAGCAAATTGAGTGAAGAGAACCAAAACGAAGATCTATGGCAACGCTCTCAGCCTCTCTCTCTGCCCACTGCGCTTAGAAACTCTCCCACTAATTGGCCAGTCATAATCCGTCGCCTCTCTAAGCCGGTCGCAGCTTTTGTAATTGCATTTAAAAAGTCTTAAGAAGTGTTAAAAGGTGTTAAAAATCGGTCAAATATCAATCAAATAATGCATAAATAGTGATCGCAGGATTGTGTGTTGTGTTTAAAACAATAAATATTGTTTTAATTGTGAATTTGAATAATTGCAATGCCAAATGGGAAGGGGTGCTCCGCTGGATAAGTGAAAGTGTAAGTGTGTATGTGTGTAAATCTGGGTAGTCTTATGTATGTACATATGTACACATAAAACGGTATGCATATGCTTACATTAAAACCCAAAATTACAAGTTAACTTTTGCAAATTAAAGTAAAACCATTCAAATATTCAAGTAATGCCAATGAGAACTTTGAAAAATATGCAAAATCAAAGTCAGTGTACCTAAAACATATGTGCATTTGTATGTATTTCATTGATATTAGCTTCAAAAACATAAATCAAGTCTGTAATTATTAATTAAATGCACGCAAAATATCATTTAATATTAATTTTAAGTGTGTACACCAAAATGAAGTGCCAAAGAAGAGAGCGGAAAAGATCTGCGATGCGAAGCAAAGATAAGAACTTTGGCGAAGTTGCGTTTACCGTAATTTTCTTCTTTGCTTTTGCTTCTGTCTTTGCGTTTGCATTCTGTAAGTCGTCCATTCGTAGATTATTAATGGTTCGAAATGTTGTTGGAAATCACTGCTGCCAAATTTGGCTATTTTCACGTCAAAACTGACTTTTTTGACTTTTTTTTTATTTTTTTTTATTTTTTGGTCATCGCCTACCTTATGTTTTTTGTGGACCTTTAAAATATTTTTTTTTTAGCTTTTTCTTATTCACACTTCCCGCCAAAGCAGCTATTTTGCTGGTCTAAAATTGGCAGCACTGTTGGAAATATGTAGAAATATTACAAGAATAGTAATATCAGTAAATAAACATGTAAACCCATGCAAAATATTAGCTAAATTTTAGGTTTTTTGTTGTAAATGAAGTTAAACTAGTTACTAATCCCAAAGCTTTAAATAATATTATTAATTAAAGTAACAGATTTTATAATATAAATTTAAATCTTAAATATTTACCTTACAAGCTGAAAACAAATGCATCTCCAAGCCTAAGCTTCACCTCTTATACTTTTCATTCATAACAAAATGCTCTCGCAACTTACATTTCTATATCATAAACATACATAAAACATATATTTAGTTTTTGCTTAAAGAAGAAGCCTTATAAAGTGATAAAATAGTACATAAAAAGTGTTGGTAGGGCAGTGTTTACAATTTTGTTGAATATTTATTAATGAAATGGCAAGCTCAGCTGCTCAGCTGCTGCTGAAAATGTAAGTATAATTTATATTTGTAAATATAAATATACTAATTTGTTAAATATTCGCAGGAAAAGTTGAAGGCGACCTGAAAAAACAAGGTTTTGTGTGGAAAACAAGCAACAAATATCTTCTACAATACAAGAAATCCCAATAAGAAGCTTTAAAAACAAGGAAAATTAAGGTAAGTGGAATTTTTATATATTTTTATATTTCTATTTATATACATTTATAAAATATCATCTTATATAAAACATATCTTAGTTGCTTAAGCAGAAAAAAATGTGATTTAACCTAAGCTGATTTCCCATTATTCATGTTTAGCTTGATTTATCTTCAAGATCTCTCCCTTTAAAAGTCTTTATTTTATTATTATTTTTAAATTAAATACATTCGAATTGCATACAAAAAAGAATCTAATTTTTTGTATAGAACCACAAATGTTTTTGACTTAAAAATAATAATAAAAGCAATTTTCTAGTAGTAAATAACTTAAAACAACTTTCCTTCAAAACAATCTATTTATGTATCCTCTAAGCCAAGATAATGCCTAATTCAGAGCTTACTTTTGAGTTAGCTAAGTCAGTGCAAGTCGTCCTAAGTCCCCTCAACAAATGTGTGACAATTTTCAAATGGCCGAGTACGGAATGCAATACCTCGTAGGGCTCGTAATTTGATTGTTATGATTCCCAATTGGTTTTCATTCAAATCTGGGAAACTTAATTTTAAGCCCATTTTTCGAAAATTTTGATGATGGTACCCCTTATCAAAAATGCGAAAATTGGGCCAAAATTGACTTTTCCAAAATCGAAAAACGGGTGATAGGGGAGGTTAGTGTTGGTCGTTAGCAGCACAAAACAGTTGTTCTCTTGGCTGTGCGTCATTTTTTGGCCGAGCTAGAGCTGTCAGAAATAGGTTTATGATTTTTAGCCATTAAACCAGAGCTCGCACAAAAAAAGCAGAGCAAAAATGAGAAAAGCAAGTATAGGGGCTTTAAGTTTCGGTTGTTAGCTGCATAAAACAGTCATTGCTTAAGCGTCTCGTTTTGACAAAGTTATAGCAAAGAAACGGCAACAAGACCAGAATCCCTGCTGCCAAGGGACGTATACTTGATTTTTAGCGCAAAAAAATCAGTTTTTTAGTCATAGCGCAGCCAAAAATGGCCCAAATGAGGAATGCAATACCTCGTACGGCTCGTAATTTGATTGTTATGATTCCCAATTGGTTTTTATTTAAAACTGGGAAACTTCAGTTTTGGCCTATTTTTGAAAATTTTGATGATGGTACCCCTTATCAAAAATGCGAAATTTGGGCCAAAATTCATTTTCCGAAAATCGAAAAACGAGGGATAGGGGTGGTTAGTATTTGTCGTTAGCAGCACGAAACTGTCGCTCTTTTGGCTGTACGTCTTGTTTTGACCGAGCTAGAGCTGAAAAATCAAAAATAATATTGCAAATTTATGTTAAAAATCGGTTTCCTGATTTTTTAGCCCTTAAAACAGAGCTCGCACCAAAATATCAGAACAATAATGATAAAAGCAAGTATAGGGGTGTCAAGTTTTGGTTCTTAGCTGCATAAAACAGTCACTGTTATAGCCGTGCGTATTGTTTTGACAAAGTTACAGCTTATAAACGGCAACAAAACCGGGCTATCTGCTGCCGAAAGACGTATACGTGATTTTAAGCACATAAAAATCAGTTTTTTGGCCATAGCGAAGCCAAAAATGCTCCAAATGAGGAATGTAATACCTTGTAGGGCTCGTAATTTGATTGTTATGATTCCCAATTGGTTTTCATTAAAATTTGGGAAACTTCATTTTTGGCCCATTTTTGAAAATTTTGATGATGGTACCCCTTATCAAAAATGCAAAATTTAGCCGAAAATTAATTTCGCAAAATCGCTAAACGAGTGATAGGGGTGGTTAGTTTCGATCGTAAGCAGCACAAAACAGTCGTTCCTTTGGTTGTACGGCTTGTTTTGGCCAAGCTAGAGCTAAACACCCGAAAATAGTATTGCAAATTTCTGTTAAAAATTGGTTTCTTGATTTTTCAGCCATTAAATCAGAGCTCGCAGCAAAAAACCAGAGAAAAAATGATAAAAGCAAGTATGGGGGTTTAAAGTTTTGGTTGTTAGCTGCATAAAACAGTCACTGTTTAAGCCGCAAGCCTTGTTTTGACAAAGTTACAGCTAAGAAACTGCAACAAAACCGGAATCTCTTCTGTAAAAAATAGGTTTTTTGACTTTTTAGCCATTAAATCAGCACTCGCCCCAAAAAAATCAGTGCAATACTGTTAAAAGGAGGTATAGGGGTTTAAAGTTTTGGTTGTTAGCTGCATAAAACAGCCACTGTTTTAGCCGTGATACTTGATTTGACAAAGTTACAGCTAAGTAACGGCAACAAAGCCGGTTTTCTGTTATCAAAAGACGTATACTTGATTTTTCGCGCAAAAAAATCAGCTTTTTAGCTATTGCGCAGCCAAAAATGGCCCAAATGAGGAATGTAATACCTCGTTGGGCTCGTACCTTGATTGCCATGATTCCCAATTGATTTGCATTTAAATCTGGAAAACTTCATTTTTGGGCATTTTTTGAAAATTTTGATGATGGTACCCCTTATCAAAAATGCGAAATTTGGGCCAAAATTGACTTTCCCAAAATCAAAAATTGAGTGATAAGGGTGGTTAGTGTTGGTCGTTAGGAGCACAAAACAGTCGTTCTTTTGACTGTGCGTCTTGTTTTGCCCGAGCTAGAGCTAAAAACCCGAAAATAATGTTGCAAATTTCTGTCAGACGTAGGTTTTTGACTTTTAGCCATTAAATCAGAGCTCGCACCAAAAAAGCAGAACAATAATGAAAAAAGCAAGTATAGGGGCTTTAAGTTTCGGTTGTTAGCTGCATAAAGCAGTCATTGTATTAGCCATGCGGCTTGTTTTGACAGAGTTAGAGCTAAGAAACGGCAACAAGACCGAGATCTCTGCTGCCAAAAGACGTAGCATAACTTTGGGCATAAAAAAAATGCGAAATTTCCAAAATTCGAGTCCCAATTGGGTTTCATTCAAAACCTCGGAAGCTTTATTATTGGCACAAATTTCGCATTTTTGATAAATCATAAAAATTTCCGACCATTTTTGGCTTTGCTATTTATGATTTTTAATACAAAAAATGGATATCGGGTAAATGAAAAAATTAGAACTCTTCTTTCCGTACTGAGGTTTGAGACGCTGTAGTTGGAGTTTTAATGCTCTACCTCCTTGGCTATTCAAGCTGTAAAATATTTTTAAAAATATGCTTAAATGAACCGGATTAGGTGTAGCTTATATTAAAGATTTTAAAAGCCGACGATGGCGCTAGGCGCTATGTTGTCTTACAAAATGTTAAAACGCCGTCGGTTCGGGTTCTTCGAGTCCCGGTGAGAACCTTAAGAGCATGGATTGAGGATACTGCGGCATTCTTATATGGATACGTCAGCAAGTCAAAGCGCAACCCAAGCTCTAGTTTTTCCTGAGGAGAATGTCAGCGACATGCCCGGCAAAACAAAAGTCAGGAGTTTGGTTTTTTGAAAGGGCAAAGAGATGACAATCGCACGAGATCCGGTGAAATGAATGTGAAGGGAGGAGCCTCTTTGCAGTAACCTTTTCAACTGCAGTGCCAACCGGAACTACAACGTATGACATGTGAAACACCTTTGATCACACGCAGATAGTTGGCCATGGATTTAGTTTTGGTTTTAAGTTTAAGTTGCCTTTTAACTAAAAACCTTTTTAAACCTTTTTAAACCTTTCCCTAAATTGAGAGAAAACACCTATTGAAAGACAATAACTTTCTTACTTGACACTCAGAGATGTAAACGTCACTAGACTTTTTTCCTGGCTGTTGCTTAACCCACTGACACCCCTTTATTTTTTGTGCCTGTACATCTGGCTGGCTGGCTGGCTGGCTGGCTGTGGGCTCTCAACTCTGAGCCGCGTGCGATCACGAAGCGCATAAATGGCATTTGACACGTGACAAAAATGTTCAATTTTAATATTTGCCACTGCCACCACTGTGTTTTGGGGGCCCCTATACTTTCGTTGTGGTTGTGCGGGTGAGCATTAGTATGTGTGTGTGTGTATGTGTGTGTGTGTATGTGTGTGTGTGTGTGTTTCTGTATATCCCCCGTGTGATGTGTAACTGTGTATGTGCCTTGGTTAAACTGAATTTCATTTGGTTTTTCCCGTCTGCTATTGTTTCTTGGCCATCATTTCCTTCTCGAAAGCAGCCTCTTCTATGACTCTATAGCATGGCCATGGAGATGATGGCTTGAGGGTTCCAAAAACAAAACCAAAAACAAAACCAAAACCAAATCCAAATCCATTGGATTGGCGCTCTTTAAATTTGTTTGCCTTGCCATGTGCGGACACTTTGTTCAAATGATGCGACATAATAACTGCTGTTGCTGTTGCTGCTGCTGTTGCTGGCGGGAAAACCAGTTTCAATGGAAAGCCTATCTCCTGGCCGGGGACCACCATCAACTTTTGACTGCCCATTAAATATTATGGCAATGCAAACGAATCAGCAAAGCCAAATAACCCAAACAGCCAGCCATCCAGCCATCGGAACGGAACTCAAACCCAAAAACCGAAAATCAACAGCGGCAATCATTGGCTGGGCATTTTGAATTTCTGACAATTTTTGGCTATTTTTGGCGACGTGACGGCAAATAAAAGTTAAATGAAAATTAAACTATGCAAATATGCAGGCAAATTTCTGTGGATGAGCGGTTGGGTTGGTTTTCGAGTGGGTGGTTATTCTGCTGTCGTTTTGTATTTTCCTGGCCAACGTCTGATTGGAGTCCAAAATGCTTTGGTCATTTGCCAATCAGTCGGAATTTCGAAACTGAAATGGGACCTAGGGATGTCCCACTTCTTCTTTTTCTTTTTTTTTTTTCCACCTGAGTTATAGCCAAATTTCTCTTGGCCACAAATGAATGAATGAATGGTTTGAAAATTTATATTCCGAATGTGGATATACAGAATGGAATTTATTTAGTTAAGCCGTGAAAAGCGCAGTATTAAGTCAATATTTTTCATGTTTGCATTAAAAAGGAAAGGAAGTTAGGAAAAACTTTAAAAAGTTTCTAACGATAAAAACTCAGGAATTTTCGTGTGTTGAGTCATCTCCTTCGAAATGGGAAACGAGTTAATGTCATTTGGAATGCAGTTTTTTTTTTTTCTGATCTCTACTTATAGCCCGTTAGTATTGCCGACTTCACGTGGTCCATTCCAGCTGGGTGAGGGCATTGATGATCGTCGGCTCGTTCCCTGGCTGAGAATGTCTTTTTGTTGTTTGGGACTCAGTTTGGTGAATGTCCTGTTGGCTGATTGTTGCTCTAGTGACCCATATCCTTGCCCTGGTTCATGTTCTTGCCCTGATCCATGACCTTGCCTTGGTCCATGACCTTGCCCTGATCCATGTCCTTGCCCTGATCCATATACTAGCCCTTGTCCATGTCCATGTCTTTGCCCTGATCCATGTCCTAGCCCTGATCCATGTCCTTGCCCTGATACATGACCTTGCCTTGGTTCATGTCCTTGCCTTGGTTCATGTCCTAGCCCTGATCCATATGCTAGCCCTGGTCCATGTCTTAGCCCTGATCCATGACCTTGCCTTGGTCCATGTCCTTGCCCTGATACATGTCCTTGCCCTGATCCAAGTCCTTGCCCTGATCCATGTCCTTGCCCTGATCCATATGCTAGCCCTGATCCATATACTAGCCCTGGCCTTTGGCTGTCCATCACCGGCTTTCGTAGAGCGTCACTTCTGCTTTTGCTGCGCTCTTTGTCTATGGCCTTGGGAGAGGCCTTCGCATTCGGATCCTCAAAGAAGCCATCGTAGATCACAAAGTTATTGCCCTGCGGAATGGGACGCAGCAGGCCATAGTGTTTGCCCAAGAAGGCTAGCAGCTTCTCAGATGGCCGGTCCACGGAGCACTTGCGAGCTTTCCAACCCTGATCCTCAAGCATGCGCTGAAAGAGTTGCTTGCCAAAACCCCGACGCTGGCGGGACTCATGGATGTAGAAATCGAGAATGGCCGGTGTATTATTGGCACGACGACAGGCACCGTCCCTGTCGAATACGAACAGGTTCTTGGTGCCCACCTTAAGCAGACCGGAGACTGCCCATCTTCCTGAAATATTATCAGCCATTAGATAGACCACCTGATCGGATGTTAACTTCTCGGCAATGGTCACCGGTTGGCGCAAATCCTGGGCAATCGCTGACAGTCGTCCCATCACGTCCAGTATCTGACTCAACTGGGAGCTAGGCGACATCAGTTGACCATTACTGCTGCGTTGCTGGACGATAAATGGATGGGTATATGGACGACCTGCTTGAGTGACCTTTGGTCGTAGGTTATGCTCCTGCACCCGGATAATTGGTTGCGGAAAGAGGTGCTTAATATCAAAAGCGAACTCCACCATCTTGATCTAGTACCGGGGATGGACTCAAGTTTCCTTTCTTTTTCTTTTTTTGATATTTCTTCAAGGTTCTCTACCGTCTTTACACAGCCACAATTTCCGAAATTTAAATCATACTTTTTTCTACTCTACCGAAATGTCACTGCAAGATTTCTAATACCTAAAGTCTGGTTAGTGAAGTTAACTAACAGCCTACTTGGCTAACAAGTTTTTGGTTATATCAAATGTTGTTGTGGGAAGTCTTTAAGCTGCAACTCTGCAACTCTCTAAGTCCCTTTCATGGATCATCGATCGTTTGGGTATGTAAAAAATATAATTTTAGTCATCATATTCCTTGGTCAAGGATGTAAGTCATTGTCCTTGTAACTGACAAACTCAATGGAGCCTATCATAGACAGAAGGACAGAAGCCAAGAGAGTTAATTGAGAATGCTGGACCATCTCAAGGACAGGCCATTGAATCGATCTTGACTTCAGCCAACCAGGACGATAATCGGATGATAGTAAAATTATATTGGCCCTGCCATTTGTAGAGGAAACCAAGCCCCCCCCCCATAAGCATGCAAATTTAAGAGCTTCCAGTCACTTGAGCAAACTCTCAATGGAGATGGGATTACAGTTGGAGATATTTTATGAGAGTTTTTCATAATATTTAAAATATAAAGTTTAGTTAGTTTGGTTAGTTTAAAGATTTAAAGAAAATAAGACAAAGATTTTAAACCAAATCTTCATTTTTTGAAGATGGAACCTTTATGAGAGAGTGAATTTATTTCGAGTTCACAGCTGGCCAGCCCTTTTTGGAGCTGCCTTTCATCTTTCTTTTGGCCAGAAGGCTGAAAAGTCATTGACCATGAAGTTGGAACGGCGGCAGGTCAGGCAGTCAGGCAGTCAGGACAGTCAGGACAGTAATCCACTGAGAAGGCATGCTTGATTGCACTAACCCCATCGCCTGAGGTCCTGCGTCCTGCCTCCTGCGTCCTGGGTCCTGGATCCTTACACATTTTAATATTCGGCCTTGTATTTAAACTATTTCTGGTCATGTGCATATTTTTCGATTTTGACTCTGGCCCGTAGAGTTTCCGGTTGCCAGAATTCCATTCCGGGTCAGATGTTAAGCCGTAGTAAGGAAAGGGGCTGCCTGCCGGGGGTGGAAAAAATGGGGAAAATTCCCCAAAGTTAACTGATTGGCTGGGTTGGGTCTGCTTGGGCCTTGGCAACGTAGCAGCCTCTTTAAATTTTGTTTTCTACTTTTTTACTTTTTTTAAAAAAAAGCAATCTCAGTGCTAAATTTTTCGATCATTTCAAGGATTGATAGTCAGGTCAGCGTATGTAAGTCTTTCTCTCATTTGCAAATCACACAGTTCTTTGGTCAAGAACATCATTGGACATATGCCTTTAACGACAAGGCCAACACACATCTCCCTATCCCTGTTAGTCTGTAGGTTTTCCCCTTATTCATGTAGTTCTACTTTGGCTTTTGCAATCCAAACGTTAATGGTCTGTCAATTATCGCCACCCAGTGTGTGTGTGTGTGTGTGTAACGATAAGATATCGCCCCCAGACGCCAAACATTTCATGCCACGACACCCATCTGCCCTGCCCTGCTGTTCTGGTATCCATTCCTGGTGTCCCATTCCTCTGGGCATGAGTATCCGTGTTCCCTCAACACTTTAGTACATCATTTAGTTCGAATTAGTTATGGACATAGAGCACACAACTCTCGCCCCAGCAGACGACGAGTCGAAGACACAAACACACACACATAGATAGACAATCGAATGAAACAACTTTGTGCATGCCACACACACATACACACACACACCCCCGCCATCAGGTCAGGGTTCGGCTCTGGGTTGCCCTTTTTACATTTGTATTTATGGTCAGGCCAAGACACAGGCTCAAAGACAATGACGTTGTTGCTCTGCAAAGGAGCTGTAGTCTTGCGAAAGCAGAAATTGGCATTCATTCTGAGGAAAAGCCATTGAAAGAAAAATTGCAAGTTTTCAGGGGAAGTTAGTAAGCAAAAACCTTTTACTTAGTTTAGTTTAAGGGACTTAAAAAGGGTTATAAATACTTACCTCTTAATAATCCTTGATCTAAGGTTACTTTTCTATTAGAAAATAAAAGCCTTGCCTAAGTTCTTCCTTGCAACTTACTAGTTTTCCTCAGTGTTCTGAGCCCGTTTCGTTACCGGAAATGGACAACAACAGACAGGCGGAACTCAGTTCGTTCTCATTCTCATTTATTTCGCAGTCTCAGGCCATGTCTCCGATACCAAAAACCCGCCTCCAACTCCAGGACTGTCTGACTGGAGTACCCATTAGAGGATGACGAGTGTTGGGCTATGGGCGATGGGCAATGGGCGATGTACCATACCCCATACTTCATAGCCTATCTATTTAGATGCTCTTAGCCTAGGGTTTTTGGTTTCCTCAAAGAGGTGGCGGCCGTGAGCTTCTTTCCGAATTGATTTTACTATATAGCAGACATCGACCCACTCCAAGTTTCCAAGCCAAGAACTGACTCCTTCTTGTTTGTCTTGTGTAAGTATTTTTATTTCCTTCCCTTGCTTATTGGAATTTTATTATCAGCTCATATAAGTGCGATAAAATGTTGATATACGCAGGACAAACAGGGAGGGCAAAATGTAGGGCAAACATATGAACTTACCCACCAACCCGCCAAAAACTTTCCATCCCTCCAGTGAAATGAAAAGTTTTTCTCCTTTTTCTTTGCCTTGAAATATTTTCAGTTTTGGTTTATTTATTTGATGTATCCTAGTCGGTATCATTAGTTTATTGTTTGTTATTCGCTATTATTATTATTATTATTATTATTATTATTATTATTATTTCCGTAAGCTATGATAATTATTTTTGAAATAGTTTGCTTTTCTTAGAGCTTAGCCTACGTTTCATTTAGTTAGTAATTCTCATAATTTGCTAGAAAAAAAAAAAAAAAACAACAAATTTTCCCATTAAAATAGTTTGCATTTTTCAGTTTCTGTTTTTTTTCTTGTTCTTCAGTTTTTCCAGCATTTTTTCTTCTCTCATTCATTTACAAACTCGTATATATGTTATATATACTATATATGGCTTATATATGGTTTATTGGTAGAGAGATCTCGCTACGGAGGGACCTTAACTATACATACGAGTATCTATATGCATTCTATATCTCATATCTTCATATCTCATAGCTCATATCTTCATATCTCATAGCTCATATCTTCATATCTCATATCTCATAGCTCATATCTCATATCTCATAGCTCATATTTCATATTTCATTCACAAATTAACTTTAACAGACAACAATTCAACGATTTTGGAAAACTCAGGCTACAATTTTGTTAAATCAACAATAAATATAGTGTGTGTTTGCTTGTGTGTTTGTGTGTGTGTTTCTTATACACCGACACATATACATACGTATAAATAGTTTGTTCAAATTGCAAATTTACCAATTAGCTATAATTAATAAGCGTTTTCTTTGGAAGAACTTAACTTAAGAGCCGCCTCTCTCGCACTGATCTGAAACTTCAACTTCATCTCTTTCTTTCCATTATACTATACTATATATAGCCTTGATTTTACCTTTATATATCCTAAACTTTTTGTAATCTTATGAAAAAAAAAAAAAACACTCACACTAGCTCACTCATGCACACACTCAAATATATAGTATATTTTATGTATTTTAGTTTTTAGGAAAGTATAAAAACTTTTGAGCTTGCCTAATGGAAAATAGTTTCCATGGTAATGTGAGCTTTGAGGGGGGTCACACAGGGGAGGCGGTGCTTACAGCTAAAGTACACAAATTCCGAGCTTAGGGCTATTATCATTATCATAATCATAATTTTGGAATTGTTTTATAAACTACTACACATGTAGAAGTGATTATACCTATCAATTATTTGTCACATAGAAACAGTTAAGAGGACGGCTATTGAAATCAGGGACCAAAGGCCTTCATCCCTGCCGAGATATCGATAACCTGACTGACTGAGATCACAAGGGGCCAAGCCACACTGTTGGGGGATCCAAAGTCCTAGGTAAAGTCGGCAGGCCAAAGATTTTGGTCCGTGTTTCAAAACTCAGTTTTGATATTTCACTATACAAGTAGTAGTACGAGTATGTAGGCTTACACCGATGAGTATTATCTGCTATGTTAGCCCCCCATTAATCGGAGCCCCTTTGACCCCGTCATATTGCTTCTAGCAATGCGATAGCCTTTGCTCTAGATACCCTGATACCCTCTTCCCTCCCCCATTCATTGCTATGCATCCTGGCTCCCTCTACCTCGCAATCTTATGTTAATAGATATATATATATTGCTAAGTTATCCCCCCCCCCCATTGGTACTATCTGATATACCTAAAGGTAATGAATATATTCGCCTGTTCTAGATCTAGATTAAGTGACTAGCCTAGTTACGACCTCTGGTTCTTAAATGCTCTTATATATCTCCCATCTCTTTATATATATATATATATGTCTTTATATATCTTTATATATATCTCTTTATATCTCTCTATATATCTCTCTATGTGTATATATCTTATTGAACTGAAACTTTGAACGGAATGTGACCTTTAAGCGGGATTAGCATCGGGGTCAGCGCCCCTCGATATTGTATTAATTTGTGGGGCTCATTTGATTTATGGTGTCTGCTCGTGTGTGTGTGTGTGTGTGCGTCACTCTGTCAAGTTGTACAAATACATCTCCAATGGTTTGGGCCATGGTTAACTACTACCCCCTCTAGACCATTTATCGGTAATCCATCGCTCTGTCTGCCAACTAACTTGGAACATTCGTATGTAATGTGTGTCTGTGATGAAAGAGGCGCTGACCCTGAGGCCCGCTAGCTAACCTAACATTTGCTGATTTGACTAACTAACTCTAGTTATCGATAAATATATCGATATAAAACAATTGCCAGCACTAGAAAGTTTAGCTGCCAGTCGCCTGTCTGCCTTTAAGGATATGAATTTCATTTATATATAAATATATTCGCTTATCTAATCATAATCAGTGTGGGGGGCGGGAGGTAAATCAGAAACAGGGGGCGGGTGGTGGGTAACGGTGTGCTGTTTTTTTTTGTGGGTGGGAAATAGCTTGCTGCATATGCTGATATGTGATAGGTTTTTGTTTTTATTTATTTTTTCGGTTTAGCAGCCTCTACAAAGAGAACACTACATTCATTTTTCTGTTAAAGCGAGTCGCGAGAGTATCCCTAACTTATGGCTAGTTTGGAATTTGAATCGCGTGTCTTGATTATATCGCTAGTTACGGTTTTTAGCTTAAAATAATTGTTAAAAATTGTACCTAGCCTACAGCTACAGCTCGTAATGTGCCACCCACCACGTCATAGAGTAGAAGTATATATATACTATATATACAGATCTATTTACATAAGTAGCTCCAACTTAAAGCTATTGCAAAACCCATTACTCCAAACCCATGCACTCTTCTGCTTGTTGAGATCTCTCCTCGTGCATTGATGACTTCCCTTTGGCACACTTGTTGCCCCTTGATCTTTAATATCATAATATCATAAACCTGCCACAAAGTACACAACATTGACTCCTTTTTGCCCCACATTTGGTTTAGTATTGCTGTTAGTCTGCTGTTAGTCAGCGTTTTTAATCACCCCATGTGCATGATCTTCTTGAAGGCCTTACGAAACTCTGGATTGAATATCGTATAGATAACCGGATTCACGAAGCTATTAATATAGCCCAGCCAGGTGGTCATCATGTAGGCCGTCAGACCCGGTCGGCAGTCTTTCTTGAACTTGGCGCACATGGCGTCCATGATGTTGCAGCTGAAGAACGGCAGCCAGCAGAACAGGAAGACACCTGTTATTGTGTTTGATATAAAGGAAAAGAAAGAAAAGTAGAGTAGAGTTTGTGGTTGTTCTCGTTAAGGTCAGGTCAGTTTGGGAAATGTACATATATTCAAATTCATGGCCTGCTGTTGAACTTACCCAAAACAATGGCCAATGTCTTGGTGGCCTTGCGTTCCTTTTTGGCCGACGATTTTTCGCGTTTCTTTTTCGAGGCCTTGTGCACCTTGTATATCGTGAATCTGAACGACACGCAAAGGATAATAGGCCATGGTTGGTTATATATATATATATATATTGCATTTTCCAAAAAAAAAAAGAAAGAAAAGCAGAAAATGAGAAAGAAAGCGAGTGAAAGTGGGGGGTCATCAACTGGCCAAGAGCAGAAAAAAAAAAATGCCAAACTAATAACTGTAATTAGGGGCGACGGGCGCCGTTACTCACCTTGACGCCTGCGAGTTCTTCTTATCCTTGCGCGAGGACGTTTTCGATGTAGTCGATAGCGTTGAGTCGTTGCGTGCCAAAGTCATGGCCTCCTGCACCCCGTAACGGACAAAGGACAATGGCTTCATGGCGACGCTGCAAACGGAAGTCGGTGTCGGTATGAAAACGCAATCTTGCCACCTTTAACTACCATATTATAGAACTATTTTCAGATTGCCAGATTGCCGCCTATTTGCGGTTGCTGTTAGCTGTTTTTTTGTTGGCTTAGAAAGTGCGATGGGAAAGGTGCTAGGAAGCAAGGTGCGATATGGGAGGCTAACTACGTAATGTGGTGCTGTGTACGTAATGGTAAGGCATTACGTATTTTTGGCTACGTTTATTTGGAACTCAATCAAGCGATTATTATAGTGGTTAGATGGGTTATATATTGGCAATTGAATAATCAGTTAATAATTGCAAATCATAATCATAACTCTTTAAGGGTAAAGCGTTTCATGTTTTGCATTTAAATATTTTCTTAATTGCTTTTTGCTTTGAAAATTATAACAAAATGTTGAATTTTTTAACAACTTTAGCTAACCCATTCATTGACTGTCTTTTTCTTCATATTACTTAACTTTTTAAACTTTATTTAATATTGCTAATTCTCTTTTTAATTTAGGTTTATATTTCTCTTGAAGTGCCAAATCAAAAGTTGTCAACATTTGCTGGCCAACTCCTAAAAGCTTAAATTGCCATTTTTTTATGCTTTTTTAGATTTTATCCAAAAATGTTGACAATTTTCACGTGGCGTGAACTTTTTTGTCTGTATTTGTGGTAAACAGTAAATAAAAATAATGAAAATGCTTTTTTTCAAGTTTTTTTTGCTAGCTAATAATATTTTCCATTTAAATTGTGACAAAGAAAGGAAGCTACGCGTAAATTTCTAACATTTTTGGCATTTCACGCAGTCTTTTGTTTGGACTACAAAAGTTTTAAAATACACTTTAAAAAAAAAGCCATTTACTATTAGATTTCTTAAATAAAAGTTAAGCCTTTTATAAGCTTAAGTTTAATTATAATATATTTTTGATATTTTTAATATTAAGTTTAAGTGCTTTGATCGAAGCTTTTGAGTTTAATATATTGAAAATCATAAACATATATAAATATTGTAAAATATTTGTAAAAAGCATTTTATTTTAAACTTCCTCATTAAAAAAGCTTAAAAGTTAAATAATATAAAAAAAAGTTTATGAAAGAAATGATAAAAATCTTGATTTTTAACATTAACTAGATTAAATTTAAGGTTTTTCCATTAAAAAGAACAAAATAATCCTTTAAAAAATATTTAAAAACCAATTTAAGTTATTAAAAATCATAATTATTTATTAATACATATTTTTTTCGAGTGTAACCAACTACCAAACTACCATATTTTAACTTTCTCTCTACAGGGGCTAAAAGGTTCAGCAGGCTAACATATCTGAATGCCAAATACCTGGAGTTATCGACACCGACTGACCTGAGAGTCGGCTCACCGCGCTTCGGCGAGTCATCAGCGGTATTGCGCCGCTGGCTGCTAACGCTGGACCGCTGTAGGGTGGCGCCACTGGGCAGCGGACTGTCCGGTGGCGAGCCGCTGCTTCGCGGTGCTCCGGATGTGGCAGCAGAGGCGGAGGCGGGCGCCACGCCTGCAAGGACATCGTCAACGTTTGAGGCTGCATAACCAGAATCATGATTACCATTCGGATCGGCAACGACCAGCTGCGGCTGTGTGCTGATTTGTGCCACAACGCTGCTGCGAGTGCGTTGATGCGTTGGTGGAGCGTTGTTGGCGTTGTTGGCGTTGTCGTCGGGGATTTTCCAATTAAAGGAGTCGCCGACCATCAATCAATCAATCGGCGGATGGAAGGATGTCCGGGTGGCAGGAAAAGCAAAGGCGACGGCAGCAACAGCGACAGCGGCAGCGGCAGCATTGATGAAGAACGAAAAGAGACGGAAAAATCGGGGCGCAACGTCAATTAAAAAGGCAAGGCAAGATTGAGTTTTAATAAAGTGACGCATTAATTGAATTATTGAGAATTATTTTTCCCTGGCATTGGCTCTGATTCTGCTTCCTTTGGAATGGAAAAAGTTTCGCGGTCTTGTTTGCCATCCATTCCGTGTTCGAGAACCCCAAAAACCCCCAACCCCAAGGACCAACCCCAAAACCCATCCCTTTGTGCATCCAGCCTGTCATTAATGGTTTCATTTCATGTCCTTATTGGATTAAGCAGGCCATCAGGATGCTAATTGGCTGCGCTTAACGTTGGCACTTAATAGCGGTTTTTCGGGGCAGGACAGGACAGGGTAGGTTCTCGTGAAAAAGATAGGCCATCGCGATGGGAAGAGGAACTCAACTCAGTTTGAGGAGAGCAGCTGATGAGGATATGGGGAGTCTTTTCGGCAGGCTGGCTGATTGAAAGTGCAGCACACGCGTTGAAAGAGTGCCGCTGTGGCGCTGCTTGCTGTCGTTTATGTCGGCAATTGAGTGGCACCGTGGCCGAACGAAGCCTGCCATTAGAGATTGACAGTTTTCCATGGACATGGATGGGTGGTCGTGAGGTTGCCTCGTTGTCTGGAAGGAAGTGCAGTCGAGACCACTCAGCAGAAACTCAGGCACTGGGTGGCTTATCTATTACGTGTTGGTGGCACGTGCCAGGATTGCCAGGGCTGATAGAGCCAGGCCAGGTTGCAAGTTGCAAGTTGCCAGCTGCCGCAACACGGAAAGCGGACAAGGATATAGATATACAGATATACGGATATATGGAAACGAAACTGCTGAGCTCCGAACTTTTGCCAGGGCCATCACAGATAGCCCCGAGCCTTAACTTTCATTCTCATGGCAAGGAGTTTTGCACTGAAATTGGCTGAAAGTTGGCGCTTTTCATACCCCTTTCACGTAGGATATAAGTGGTTTCGCCCGAGTATATGTCCAATGCGACTGCGAAACGTGTTTATAATCCAAAGCAAGGTAGCACGAGGTCTACACTAATGAAAACCAGCTCGATGTAGGTCAAAAACAAGGATGTCCTTGATAGGTGAGTACCTACTTAAGGTTCCCTATTAATCAGATCATCTTTCCTCTACTTTATATCGAAACCCCAAAAAAGATCCTTCATAGAATGAGTACTCACTTGCCCGTCTCCTCGACAACGGTGGCCAGCATGAACTCGGTGGACTTGTCGTTCACGATGACATGACAGTCGTCGATGTCCGGCGAAATGGCATTCTCATCCTCCTCCTCATTGGAACCGCTGGCCGTATTGGTGGCCGCCTCGTCTGGCATTATCCGGCTGGCATGCCGACTACTATCCAAGGCTGTCTCCGCCAGCCGGCGGGTCTGGGCAATGTTCTCGATGACGCTGCCGCCCGTCAGTTCCGATAGATGAGGCTTGCGGGCCGCCCGCTGTTTCCGCGCTCGACTTCTCAGTGCCTACGGATACGAATACAGAAATACAGTGCTTGATACGAGTTGCACAGAAATACAGGATACGCGGGATGAAAAGAGCGGATTAAGCAATGCCATGCTGCGCTTGCATCCTGCGGATATATCACCCAAACCCCCCAACCCCAGTCAACAGCTAATGTGTGCGCGCAAACATAAAGCCCGAACCCCGAACCGATCCGACCCCGGACTCGACTCAACATCATTCTCTTAGCCGGATTGCAGTTTGCAGAATTATGCCACGGACAGCAGCAATATTGATTCCACTCGGCTTGGAAAAATCCGATTTTAATTGCGATGCCGCGGAAATCTATCTACAGATGAAACTCATGGCAAATCGTAGAAAAGTTTGAACTTGCTGAGGGCTAGAAACTTTTATGTTTAGAATGTGATGAATCTGACTTTTGATTTGGACTATAATTATGGATTTGTTTTAAGAGAACTTATCTTCATTTTCCCCCCAAAATCATTTAGCCCTTCCCCTTAACTCACCTTGAAAATGTTCCAGTAGAGAAACACCATGATAATGCAGGGTATATAGAAGCTGCTCAGCGAGGAGTAGAGTATAAAGTCGGCATTGTAGAAGGCGCATACGTCGGGCTCGCGATTTGGCGTGTTGTTAAGGCCCAAAACTATCGGTGAACCGATGGCAGCCGATATGGCCCAAACCAACAGTATCGTAAGGCAAACGCGGCGGCTATTTTTGTGCTTGGCGTACTTTATTGGCTGTGTCACAGCGATGTATCTGTAAATGTATATTCGATTATAAATATCATATAGAAAGAAATCTATATATGAGAAAGACTCACCTGTCTATGGAGATGGCAACTAAGTTAAATATCGATGAAGTAGAGCATATCACATCCATGGCTATATAGAAATCACAAACAACGTCAGGCAGGGCCCATACTCCATTTACCTGCACAAATTGCAAAGAAAAAAAAAGGTTTAGAAGGGGGAGTAGTGGAGGGACACTTCATTTGTTCGGCACTTAATCGACTGTATAGAAGAAGAAGGTAGGAAGAAGCTGACTCTATTGGAATGCCCATCCTTTGTCGAATATTAATAACAATATTTTCCCATTTACCGGCCTGCTGCCACAAATTAGTTTTAGACTCTATCTCTTCATGGACGTATGTGGCAGGCAGGAAGGCAGGCTGGCAGGCTGGCAGGCAGCTCCAAGCCCCAAAGTCCCAAAGCAGACTCCATAAAAACCTCAACAAAAACGTCAGGAATTTCCCAAGCCAAACAATTTGTAGCACACACACAAAGCCCATAAAAAAGGCCGATGTGGGTGAATGTCGATGGGGATATGTTTTTTCGGTGAGGGTCGATCCTGAACCTGACATGGCTGCACGTGTGCTGGCTGCTCTCTCTCTCTTTCTCTCTCTAGCTATACCCATTACAAGGGGGTAGGGTATATGGGAAATCATAGCTACCTGATCTTTGTTTTGGCAAAAACCAAATCTTATGTCTTGTATTTAAGTTCTCTTAAGGTCTTAACTTAATTCTGAATGATTTGCCAGAAAGTTTTGGTTTCTAACATAAACTAACCTTCAATTTTGAAATATTTTTTTGATGACAAACCACTGATTATCCTGTAACCAAGACTATAACTTACCCAATCGACCTTAACTTTTCTATCTTGTTTTTCTTCATCAATCGGTTTTGGGCTTAAATTATACAAACAAACTGAAACTTGAGCCAGAGGCTCATCTCTCCCCAGTAAAGAGTGTAAAATATTGGTACAAATACATGCACACATAAAAGTGAAAGTCAAGTGAAAGCGGAAAAGTAGAAAAGCATAGAAATGTACTAAAATAGCCAAGCAGGGCAGTAGCCGACTCAGACGTAGCTAAGCGAGCATAACAAAAGTTGAGCTTGGCTAAAGAAAGTGGGAAAAACTTTTGGATATAAAGACACACACGCACGAATGCTCATCCTTTACCCATACATGTAGACTAACTTTAACACAGACACACACACTGTTACACACACACACACTCTCTAACACACACACACTCTCTAACACACACTCTCTAACACACACACACTCCAACACACACACTCTCCAACACACAAACACACTTTCCAACACACACACACACTCCAAGTTGTGACATTTTTTACTGCTCTTCTTTGGCATCCTGTTTCGAGTCCATTGTCAGCAGGCACATTGCGTATACGAGCCGTACGCCCAGGTTATGCTTGCCTGCAGCTGAACTATAATTTATAATGTATTCCTAGATATTGACTATATATATATACTATATATAGTCAGACTCTGTTCTTGTCATCTCGGCTTAATGTTTTTTTTGTTTAGTTTTCTTTTACTGAGTTATTTTTCTTGCTACAATTTTCAGTTTATTTGCTGCTCCTCCCGCAGGCAACACAAATTCCGGAAGTAAGTAGGTTCATAAGCGAGGCTAATGTTGCTAAAGCTAAACTTAATATTAAAAATTAAGTTTTTGAAGTGTTTAAAGCATTCAATTTGAAGTTTCTTTACAACTTTGTGATCTCTTTTAAGATCTTTTCTTTGTTAGGAACTTAAAACCTAATGACTTTCTTTGAAAATCCATACCAAAACGGTGGCTTTCTTCTTAGCCAAATGTAGCATTTTGTCGAATTATTTATGGCTTAATCGTGGCAAGTTTAGCTTGGTATTGGTTTCCTTTGATTCTTTCTTCGACTTTCCCTCAGCTGCCAGGCTTCATTGAATTTTTTAATATTTTTCCAAGACCATTTGGCCTGCCCCTTACCCACCGCCCCAAAATCTATTCGAGGGGCATTGTGAAAGCGATTTCCAATTCAGCGAAAGTGTCTCTCGCCCTCTCTCCCCACTTTCTAGAGGGGTTGGGGGGTCGGAGGGTTTGCTAGAAAATGTTCAATTTATGTATTTTGTGAGCATAAAGGCATTTAAAGTCAGTTGTCTGCCGGCAGCTGGCTGGCTGGCTGGCTGGCTGGCAGCCTCCTCACCTTCCTTGGCCTTGTCTTTTTCCGGATTCTGGTTTCTGGTTTATTTTAGAGCAGAAATAGAAAGAAAATTTCTATGCTATCGATGTTGTTGTTGTTGTTGTTATTGTTGTTTGTGTGCGGTTCCTGCAGCAGGGCATAAAATAAATAAATTTATCTATTTGCACAGTCAAAGGCGAGCGAGCACACAAAAACCCAAAGGGAAAAGCTTTCAGATGCTATAGCTCTCGTTCTTGCTCTCTCTCTATCTATCTTTCTGTCTCATTCGCATCCACAGAAATGGACCAGGACAATGGAATTAGGAAAGGGAGACAGGGACACACAGCACACACGCACAGGGAGCACACGCAGACAAAGGCAAACAAACAAACACACACACAGCATTTTGATAATTGAGCTTCTGGTTTTTATAGTTTGCACGCTGATACGAAGGGAAACCAAAGGATATCCACACACACACACACACACATACACTAATACTACATCGATTTGCGTGTGTGTCTAGGTACACTTAGAAAAACTTTCAGGTTTTGCTTTCAGCAAAGGTCTTTTGTTTCCCCATTCAATGGGCAGAAACTTTTCTTTCTTTGTCTAAAACAAAGCTTCTATTTTCTTGTTGAAAAATACACAAAAAAATCTAAAACAAAAGCTTAAAATGGTTTGTTTTTTAAAAAAAGTAAATATATATATCTTATAAAAGGGGTTTTATAATAATTTAACTGAGATATTTACTACCATAAAAACCCAAGTTTATATAGAAATTAGTTCAGGAAGTCATCTAAAACCTACCGAAGCTCACACCAAACTAATTCTTAGAAAACTTTCACATTTTTCCCACTGCACTTCACTCTCTACTCTCCGGCTTAGCCTCATTTTCAGTGCAGGGTAAGCAGGTTCACCCCCCTCGCCTTATTCCAAGCCAAGTAACTATTTGTACAAATCAGGGGAACACACACACTAGCACATGTTGAGTCTTGAGGAGGGGGTGGAGTAGGTTGATGATTTCGTTTGAAAGGCTTGGCCAAAAGCTGACTTCAAATCCATCTGGGAATCGCTTTCAACGCTTTGGATCTACTACTAAAAAGTTCATCTCAGACTCTTCGTGTGCAAACACAAACCATTGGGCGTTGGGCTATGGACGAATCCAAGCTAATCAGTTTGGCAAATTTCCATCAGAAAGCCAGCCGCCTTACCAAAAACGTTTTCAAGTTGTTACTAATAAACTAAAACTAAAGCCAGAATGTTACTACTAACTAATATCTAGAGGAGATGCCAAAGAAAAGGCTAAAGGCAGGTAAAAGACTATACAGGAGAAACATTTTCGAAGCTTTGGAAAGCAGAAATGAGGTCAACCATTGCACTTCTTGTTGAAAAGTTTCCAAAAATACTTTCAAGAGAGTTTTTTTTTATAAATTTTATGCCTTTGTTTCAGTGGCAACCCTGCTACCCTAGGTGAAAATGAGTTTAAAGCCGTTGGGCCAGCAGCAGTCTCTGCCTCTGCCAACAGCGGCGAAGCTCACAGCAATCGATCAATGCCATTCCAGAATGGCAGCGTCAAGATCAAAAGTCCAGATCCTGGCAACCAAAGGGCATATGCATTGTCCACAAAGCCAAAAAACGCCAACCAGCGATGGACTTTGCTGGCTACAAAGGGACACAGCCTGAGTCTCTTCCCATAGCAGATTAAATCTTGAACTCTGATCAGATCACAGCCCATTGATCATTAACTTAAGTGAGTCGCTGGCCTAAAAATTAACCAAAGGCTTGGCATTTCTCCTTGAAATGGTAAGAAAAAACATGTAAAGGCGCTTTTATGCTTTAAGATGGCAATATTTGACATTAAGATCTGGCAACGCTTTCTTAAAATGATGAATTTAATTTGTCTGGCAACTCTTAAGCTCTGTGAGAAAATTTGCAAAAGGTTCACTAAGGCCAGGAGGTGTACCCCTTTTGGTATTTTTCAGTGGCAACCCTGAAAATGTGGGTAAAAATTAGTATAAACTTCCACAAGGCGTTTAGTAAACTCTAAACGAAGCACATTTTCTAAAAACAGCGTGCATTGGATTGAAGTTTAACCTTAAAACTTAACCCTTTTTTAGATTGCCAAAAGCAGAGGCTTAATTAACAATCTGATTGTGTTAAAACTGAAAAGATCTTAAGTTAAAGAAAATGTTTAATAATAAACGCAGAGGAATCAAGCGTCCCGCTGGCGAATCAGATGAAGCCAAGGAAAAGCCCTGTTCGAGGTAAGGACTCTGCTCAGATTGGTTTCTTAGCAAGAAAATTACTAATTTTTTTCTCTGCTTTCTTTCGATGGCCAATCAAGCCAACAAATGGACTCTACGAAGAGTTTGGAAGAAAGTGTTTCGGCAAAGAAAGAAATGAAATTGTCCTCCAATCAGAAGCAAGACAAGCCAATTGATTCCGAAACGAAAGCGGCTTCTGAATCTAACAATGAAACCGATTCAGAGTCAGCTGATGATGTAGATTCTTATTCATCTTCAGATCTAGATGGCGATGTTGAATCCACTTTCGATTTGAATACAAATTCAGATTCGGATAGCGTTGAATGCCCACCCATTGCCAGCGATGGTTCTCTAATCCTAACGAACAAGAATTGCCTGAATCAAATGTCAACTTGGAAGCAACTAAAGCGAGTCACCTTAACTGGTAACCAACTGGAGAAGATCCTTAATGTGCCGCTCTTTAGGGAAACGATCATTGGCTCGTTTGTGGTGTTAAAGGCAAACAGTGGACCAGAACTTAAGATATTCAAAGTTCTGAGTTTCCATCCGGGCAAGAAGTTCTACAAGCTGGGCAATAAGTCTACCAATCTTGTGATCAAACTAAAGACTGCCTTCATGGAGCGTCATTTCCTAATGAGTGATGTGGCCAATGAGCGACCCACACGTAAGGAGTTCATCAAATGGTATGCAGTCCATAGAC